CTTTTAAAAGCGAAAGAAAATTTAGTTTAAGCGGGAGAACAGGAGATTTTGGGAAAATGGCCCCAAAACGCGAGATCTCCCGCCCAAAACGGGAGAGTTGGAGTCTCTGACATTAAAGGTTTTCGCATCACATGACACAATTATTGCATGCTGAAATAATACATATTAAATGATTTATGATATATGATTTATGATTTACTTACCTATCAACTATCATATCATATATATTGCTTTATTCATATTCGGCGTCTTAAGTTGCTTAGTGCCACGAGCTGTATGATGCCCTTGCGAGATTTCACATTCAGATTAGATACATTTCTTTTTTCTTTTATGATTTATAACATGTAAATGCATATTCTAATTTCTATATAAATTTATAATGGCAGTCAGATTAAATTAGCGACTTTTACTTTTATTGATATTACTATTAGCACGAACAGGTAGTAATTATGTTATATGTAGTATGTCGTGTGTAGCAATGGGTAGTACATCACGTTATATAATGACATGACATATGTCCAGGACTTGTGTGACATGATATGAGATAGACACGGAGTAGACAAGAGTCAACGAGTGACATCAATTTACAAATATCACGGTACGGACTCCTGACATGTTCACGCCATTAGGCCGTAAACCACACGACGTATAACGTACCGGTTTAACACACGTATGTCCTCCGCACAGCTTGTAGTCTTATTAGTTACTACTAACACTAAAAACTTCTTATAACTTAGCTTATTCTTTTCTTATTTAGTCTTACCATTTATCAAGGTACTACAGTGAGATATCAGCCAATGAGCGCTGGGACAGGACAAGAATGAGATCGTTTTTCAGTGTATGCATGCGCTTGAATTTGTTATTTCTGCTTAGAAATGCTTAGAACTCTTTGCATTTGTTAATTTGCATTTTGATACTTTAAGGTATCACACTGGCAAATCATTTCACATAGGCGGCCATACTTACAAAAAAAATCTCATAAATCAGCAGTTGCAGCATGTTTTGTTGAGATATCACAATGCCATCCTCTGAATCCACGTCGCAAGTGACACCGTATATGTTGTTAACTCAAATATTCTTTCATAATTTTTTATGTAAACAAGCTTTTGCCGGCACGCACTCGAAATAGCCACGTTGCAATATCATTTTACGCGAAAAATGGGGGTGTGACCTAGCTTTGGTACAGCCAGGTAGTTGAGTTTTTTTAGCCGAAAGGCACTGAGGGTGGTCACAGCCAGAGTTTTTTTGCGCCCTCAATGGGTCTTTTACGTCCCCATTGGTCTTAGTATTACTGGAGACGGGACCGCCATTTTACGTAGTCATCGGAGCCACGGGAGATTCACAGTCTCCAATGTTGAGAGTCAGGTTTTTTACACCTTGAGAAAATTCACTGCCCCGGCCGGGGTTTGAACTCACATTCTTCATTGGACAGTGTACGAGGCCTAACCACTGGGCCACGGAGGCTCTCATATTTCTTATTAAAAATGCTTAGAACTCTTTGCCTTTGTTAATTTCGGAAACTAGAATCTCTGCTGAACCCGACAGCGTAAGCGGCTCGTCCGGGGTGTGTTGCTGGGGCGGCCGGGAAATTTTTGAAGGAAGCCTACATATATATATTAAACTGCGAGGCTACGCCTACGATGACGACGCTATATGGCGCAGGATAGCGTCCCTTGGCAAGAAGTCCTGTTGATCGACGGCACAGCTTAGCTGAGACGGCCGCAGAGAAATCTTGTTGCATTCTGTGTAATGCCCGTTTCGGTCTCCTAGGCAATTTTTATTATGGGTGTGGGCTTCGTTTAGTTTCTATAATCGTGTGTTCATAGCGGCTGGGTAAACACGGAACTTACACACCCCCTCCTCTCCCGTGCTGGCCTTGTCTTCTTAGTTGGAGGTTTATTATCGTACGTCTGTACGCCGCACGCGTAACAAACGAGGGCGCTTGAACATCAGTCTAGACTGGCCCGTGTCAAAGCACGCAGCGCGCCTACTACGTTTTCTACGCTGCTGATCTTAGTTCACCTTAGCTGCCGATGACCGACTATACGATGAGTAATTCGAATCGCGATCGTTTTGATGTGCAATAAGAAGGAGGAGGGAACGCAGAGAAGGTAACAGCGTGTTGAAACGCGGGTTGAATAATTACACACGCAATAAGCACACGTGCGTGAAACTGTAAAGGCGAGAGTGAGACTGCGTGCCCTTGCATCAAACTTGAGCATAACACAATTAAACAAAGTGAAGGACAATCTCTTGAGCATAAAGTTTAAAGCGGAAGGTCTTTTTCCAGCCATATATAAGATGACGATAAAGCACGCATTAGTTCACAGATCCCTCCACAGCGTCGTAGTTGTTTCACTGACTGTAAGAGAAGAACGGGTACGTTGTAATATTTTGGCTGATGAATTTCGCTAATATACTATGAACTACTGGTAAATACTGTATTATGTACTGCGCTCCATACTATGCTCTACGTTATGTTATAGTTTATACTCTATTCTATATGATATGTTATATTATGCACTAATTAGCTCTATACTATAATTAACGTTATGTTATAGTTTATACTCTATTCTATGTTATATGTTATATTATGCGCTAAGCTCCATAGTATACTTTACGTTATGTTATAGTCTATACTCTATTCTATGTTATATTATGTTATATTATGCATTAATTATCTCATTACTATGCTTTACGTTATGTTATAGTTTATACTCTATTCTATGTTATATGTTATATTATGCACTGCGCTCCATAGTATGCTTTACGTTATGTTATAGTTTATACTCTATTCTATGTTATATATGTTATATTATGCACTGCGCTCCATAGTATGCTTTACGTTATGTTATAGTTTATACTCTATTCTATGTTATATGTTATATTATGCACTGCGCTCCATAGTATGATTAACGTTATGGTATAGTTTATACTCTATTCTATGTGATATGTTATATACTGTTATATGGTTTGTTATGTTAAATACTATGTTATAAATAAGTTATATGTAGTGTTACATACTTTGGTATACATTATACTGTACGCTATGTTATATACTATATTATATACTGTGTTACGTGCTATATTATATACTCTACTCTACTACCAGCGGGGTATTATAAGAATGCGTTTCAAAGGACTTAATCATAATGTACCACGAACATTGTTATGGCGTTTCATCACCAGACGTCGCTGCGTGTCATTGCTGACCAGATCCCAAAATGTTTCCTTTCGCAGATAAAATGAAATTATCTGCGATCTGTCTACTGGTGATGTGCGCATGCGCAGTGAACGCCGGCACACGCCGCCGATTAAGGTCACGTCCGTCAAGCACTGACGTCACGCTGTCCGGAACCATCGCGAGGGACCAGCCAAGATGGCCGCGTGGCCCCCGCGGCTTGCGCGTGAACAACCAAAACAGAAAAGGTGCAAATCGACGAGTGAAACGTTAGAGAACATATACATAGTGTGTGTGTGTGTGTGTGTGTGTGTGTGTGTGTGTGTGTGTGTGTGTGGTGTGTGTGTGCGTGAGCGTGTACACGTGCGTGTGCGCGTGCGCGTGTTTTTGTGTGTAACACACAAGCGTGCTGATGCTGGTAGAATGTCCCGCCAGGATAAGAAATGTGCGCCAGAATCACATGAGCAATTGCTAAACCTCGGATGACACCGCTATGGTTCCCTTGCCACATAGCGGATATTATTATAGGTTGATATGCATTTATGCCTTAAATTTATGATCCGCCACGGATTGACCAAACTGTATATCTTCTTGTTGACACACACACACAGGCACGGAGAACTTCATCGTGGGTGGCACGTTAGCAGTTAGCAGCACGGCACCCTGGCAGGTATGTTACTATCACACGCACGCACGCACACACACACGCACGCACGCACGCACGAACGCACTCACGCACGCACGGATGCATACACACGCACACACACATACACACACACACACACACACACACACACACACACACACACACACACACACACACACACACACACACACACACACGCACGA